TTATTTAATCATAGTTATACCTGCTATTTAAATAAATAATAGATTTTAATTTGATGTTGACACTTGTACTTATTATTTAGAGTAGAAAAATACTTATAAAAAGGGTGTTTTTTTTTTCATATTGGAGGTATTGAACTTTGAAATAGAATAAAGTAAAGATATTTTTTATAAATTGACATGAAATTAACTTTATTTGAAAAATAATCTTTTGAAATTAAAATTTAAATACAATTTCTGGCATACGACCGTCATGGCTGGCTATGAAGTATTTTATTCTGGAGATCCAATTTTTGATAACTTTTTCAAATATTTTTCGGTGTATATAAACAATAACGCGCCGAATGTTGTCCTCCAAGTTAACAATCGTTTCATGCTTATCGGTGTAGACTAGCACTTTTACATATTTCCACATTAAATAGTCTAGCATGAGCTGTACAATCTCTGCACAATAGTGTCACAAGCTGTGTGATATTTTCCGCCGTCTTGTTGAAACGACAGCTCCTGCACATCATTGTTGTTCAATTGGGAAATGAAAAAGGCAGTAGGCATGGCTCTATAGCGGTCATCATTGACTGTAACGTTCTGGTCAGCATCGTTTTTGAAAGAGTACGGTCCAATGATTCTCCACCAGACCATTAAGCAAACCAAACAGTCAGTTTTTCTGAATTTAATGGTTTTTCAACATACATTTGAGAAAGATTTTAACTCCAAATTGGGGCAGGTTTGTTTGTTGGCGTAGCCATTAAACCAAAAGTGAGCTTCAGTGCTAAACAAAATTCGCTTATAAAAATCAGAATCAACGGCAATCTCGTTTTGGACCCTCTCACCGAATCTACAAATCTACACCTTGCTAGGCGATGATGTACCTCTAATTCTTACATGAGTTCACGTATCCAACTGCTGTGCACGATGGCAAATAGACTAATTAGTAACAACTACTTCTGTATGCAGTGTTTCATGGTAAATTGAAGTTTTTGCTCTGGTGAGCCCAGTGAAGAGGCCCTCAGGTGTAGGAGACCCTACATGGGGACCGGAGAAAAGCTAGGCTTGACAACCCATGGCTTGGAAAATGCACCCTTTTTAGACACTTTATTTTATATCGATATGTGCATATGTGCATTTCCAAGTCCATCGTCCAATTGTAAATTTCGTATGAGGTAAAAAGGCGGGGCAATGCGCATCGACGTGCTCATTGGTCCATATACTAAGACACCCGATGACATCCCACCTCCTTTGAAGACCCTTTTGCTGGAAAATTTATTTAAAACAACGCATTTTTATATGAGAAAATACAATAAACATACAATATACAAAACACTACCTTACTTAGTGATCCTAAACAAAAGTTTTTATGCAAAAGTTGAAAATATAAAAAGTTTATGTCAGTACCTAATTCCCTACACAGCACAGTAACTTCCGGTGGTCATCTTCTTCTTTTGCAGGTACGGTCTTTCATAACAGCACCTTCGACTTCAACGACTTTGTCCTTCTTTAGGTCATCAGTAACCCATAATCATTTGCCAGTCGGTTTCTCAGTAGCGGGTATGCCTGCACCTACGTGATTACTAAGCATCACTTGCGGTAGGGCAGGGAGTGACTCCGCGGCTACTCCGGGGCCTCAGTAGCTTCTGAGACTAGTGGTTTCGGTGACTTCTAGGTATCTAAAACCTCAACACTAGACAATGTCAGGAACCGCAGAATCGGTCGACGATACCATTAGCTGCTGGTGTGGAGCTTATAGCTGAACTCAGTGGAAGCCATCGACGTGCTCATTGGTCCATAGACTAAGGCAGGCGATGACATTACCATCTTACATTTCTATACCTTAAAAAAAATCTTTATATATTTAAGTATATGGTGTCTTTAACTTATGTTTCTTTGAACATTCAATAATAAAATACATCCAGCCAGCTAATTGAATTAAATGAATTATCTCTTACCTTAAAATTTCTTATTTCTAATGGAATACTGTTATACATAATATTTTAAAAATAATTACTATTTTAATTTGAAACAAGCCACAATTGAAGTTTAACAATTTCTACTTCGGAAATTTATTAATTTACTTAAGGAACGATTTCAAAAGTGAAAATTGAAACGTCAATAAATTTTAAACTTCAATTGTGGCTTACTCCCATTGAAAATAGTAATTGTTTTAAGACTCCAGAAGAAAATAGCTTCAGAACAATTTTAAAAGTACATAAAATACTATTTTTAAGACCTTTTGTTACTCACAATATTTTGTTTGATAATTATTTTTTAAAGAAAACTCTTAAGTGATTTTGTTGTTACTTGTTACTACAACAATATCATTTGAGTTTCCTTTATTATCATTTTTATTTGTTTCCATTACTTTTCTGTAATCTGTTTCTTTTTGTATATATTTAGTTTGCTTTGCTTTTGAGTACATTTACAATCCATTTTTTCTGCCGTCTATTTGTTCCTCTTAATGAATTTGATACTGATACATTCACAAGATACTAACCTGAGTCATAACTCGGTAATTTGTTATATCTGTTGTGCATCTTTTTGATATAAAAAGTGGTTAGTGCGGTGAGATTTCTTAGCTCCAGGTATTTTCACACGTCTCTATATGGATAAGTGTTGGTCTAGTTACCTAAATTTTGTCTTGTGTAACATTGCATGGTTCTTATAATATTTCCTACTAATTTGTCAGTCTTTAGTAAATGCTATTGCTATATTATTTAAATTTTAGATAATAAACAGACAATAAAATATTAGCCAAAAATATTTTATATTTTAGACCACAGAAAAAGTTGTGGTGTTGAAAATTTTGAATTGTGCAAACCAGGATTAAGATGTGTTAGAAATAAATGCCTCAAAGTTACGCTCTATCATTAGCAGAGTTTATTAAATGGCCTAAATAAAAAAAAATGTTTGAATTTTTTACTGTTAGCTTTTATTACTGGTATATTTTTAATTGTATTTAAATGTAATGAAATTTTTGTGTTCGAAATAAATTTTATATTGTTATATTTCTTTTCTATTTTATTAATCGATATATTTCACATAAAGATCCTTTCCTTACCCTAATTAATTCCTTTTGCCAATCGCTAAATCGTAAAAAAAAGTTAAACATATTGACTTTCTATACCCCAAATATGAGATCCTAAGATAGCAAGAGAAGAGCAAAAGAACGCATACCCCAGATTTAGACGACTCACCGTTCCACCCTATAGCGATCTTAAAACATTAGAAAACGGAGAATTTTTATCCAAACAGAGGTTTATACACCATGGTATCAAAATAGGAGAAAACTCATTGAAACAACAGCTGCAAGAAAATGAAGTGCTTAACAGAAACTTTGTAGTAAAGAAAAAAGGTGTCAAACCGGACATAGAGTTGAAGGTACTATTGTATGTCATTACCACAGTCCCAATACTTAGTGTTTATGATTACTATGGAAGGAGGAGGATAGGAGGAATTTTAAGTGCATTATCCTACCGTGGGATAGTGGCAAGATCAGCAACAAACCTAAACTCGTAAGTGGTGAGTTTGCATTATGGTCTACTTTTTTGTGCATTCTTATGCGCATATTTAACTAGTCTGCGTAAATGACAACATAATTATTATTATTATTATTTAAAATATCTTATTAATGAATAGTTTTCTTTTTTAAATGAATATATTTTTGGTTATATAAATATTTTTCGAAGTTTTATAATAACTACATTAGACTATCGAATTTGTGTTTTTATTCCCAAATGCCTAGCAGTTGAGAAGATTTTGTCAGAATACTGAAAACAATTACACAAAATACAACTAAACAAAGCAAAACGGTGTTGAAAAAGGACACACCTAAGAGTGAAGGTATAAAGGAAAATGTAACGGCACAGTTAATTGAAGCCTACAATAAGTACGTTACTTAAAAATAAAAATTTGGAAAACTTTAAGAGATAATTAGCTGAATTAAAGATTTTTAAATCTTCAGTATCAAATTTAAACTGCAAAAAGTCCCTCAAACAATTATTAAAGCAAAACAAAATATCTTTGTTATCGATGTCAGAAAATCACGCTGTCTCTCTTGCTATCCATACATTGGGCATCCTTTTTCGTTACATATTCTACACATAATTTGTCACAAAACATCAACCCCTTTCTTTCCTAAAACCTTCCCAACCTTTACTGGTATTCAAGCAGGTCCTACTCCCTACTACTCTTCATCCTATTAAACGATCGATAATCTCATTTCTCGCTATCCCTGGTATTACATTCTCATTTGGGTTCTGCAACCTGTGCCTCTTTTCTGGTGTTCTTTATTTACCAACTTTCTAAGGTACCTATACCATCTTTAGTCTATTTCAACATCGGATCTTCACACTTTTACATCCGCAATTTTAATCTAATTACCTGATCTGACCAAGTTTTTTGATGGCTTGTCCTTTGCTCTACTAATACAAAAGAGCAGCTACATTGCGCTTTTCTTCTCTCCTTGCTACTTCATATCCTTATCTTCCTCTTTAAAACCAGTCTTACCTCTTTCTATCCTGTTTCTTTTCCCTAACCTTCTGTTGCATTTCATCGTTTTACCGCCAAGTTATTTTGCCCCTAGCCACAGGGGAAAGATTTTCTCTAGCTATATCACTACTGGCGATGCCAGTACTCGTATACTGCGATAACTCGTATAAGCTTTAACATGAGGTGAAGGACCTGACAGCTCTTCGTCTCGACTCATGGAAATAAAATGAACACGAGACAAAGACGCCACTAATAAATTTATAGAAGAAACGGGCAGGGGTCAACCCTAAATAAGTTTCAACATGCTCAACCGGGGCCCTACAGGTGAATAATCAGCAGTCCGTTCGACCTTGTACAGGAGGAAGAACATTACTAGCTTATGCACATTTTGATTTATAATCAAATATGTCCCAATTCCATATCAGAATAACTGATTTATTAACATTTATTTTGTGAGGAGCTTTTACAGCTAAATATGAAATTTTTTTTGTGATAATTTTTTAATGTTTTAAAAAGCTAATTTAAATTTAAACGAGTTTTATTTATTTTTATATTAAATACAATATTTCAGAGTAAATTAGTAGATTTATATTGTTAAAATCGTATTTTTATGCAAACTTTTTTATAACACTTCAAATGAGGGCCACAAACTGCATAAATTTCTTCCCCACATGGTTCATCTTCATCTACAATAATAGAAATCAATATTAATACAGTACAGTGTTTCCAGAGGATATACAAATATATAAGTTTTACGAGGAAATTGACAAAAACAAGTTCTAATTAATATAGTTTAATAAGATATGCGTCATATAAAGCCTTTCCTACCCTAATGACAACCTCACATTCCCTTGGTAAATCCTGTTTAAAACAAAAAAGGCTCTGATCACTGAGCATGAGTAATATAACCTTAAGATTAAATAGGTAGTAAAGCTACCTCTTGATTGAGTTTAAGTAATGATGATGAAAGCGTGGAATTGGCAAATATGAAAAAGCCATACTAAAAGTTGGAAAATAGGTCATAGGCGAAGAAGAAAAAACCACTTAAAAAGACTCGATGACACCAGAAATAGTTGAGCTAATAACTGAAAAATGAAAATACAAAAATAAAGATAAAAATAAATATAAAACCATCAAGAATAAAATCAAATATGAAATTAGAAAGGCTAAGGAGGAATGGATGAACAAGGAATGTTAGGAACTGGAAGAACTCAGCAACAAACATGACACCTCAAACTTACATAAAAAAAATGAAAGAACCTGTAAGAATAGGCCTGGAGGAATACTTACTAAAAAGAACAAAATAAAGGTATGGGAACAATATATAATACATCTGTTCCATGACGAGAGGGAAAGTAACAAGATATACGTGAAGAAGAACAATACCTACAAATTTTACTCTCATAAGTAAAGCATGCCCTACAGAATTCAAAACAAGGAAAAGCACCGGGTCCTGATCAAATTCCAGTTAAACTGTTAAAAGCCTTAGATGACGGTAATATAAAGAGACTTACCCGAATTCTCAACCACATATATGTAGAGGGCAACATTCCGGAGGAATGGCTTAAATCGATATTTTTACCTCTACCAAAAAACAACAATCCAAAATCATGTAATGTTTATAGATTGATAATCCTAATGTGCCACCCTTTACAGATTCTCTTGAAAATTGTTCAAAACCGAATTTATAAGAAATGTGAGGAGCAGATAGATCAAACGCAGTTTGGCTTCAGAGGAGGCATTATTTGCGTTAACGGTACACTTGCAGAAAGGTCGGGAATATAACAAGATGTATGCTTCATAGACTATAGGAAGGCATTTGACGGAGTGCAGCATATGAAGTTAATAGAGGAATTAAAAAACATCAATTTAGACAAGAAAGACATTGAGTTTATTAAGGCTATATATTGAAACCATAAAGCAGTATTAAAGGTGAACGATATAGAAACAAATAATATACCGATTGCGAGAAGGGTCAATCGGGTCACAACGTGTAATCGCAGGTCATATTCAGAAAAGCCTTATGGGAAAGAAAAGAGGAAATAAGAATTGGTACATACCAGGGAATAAGACTGCATACCTTGGACACATACTGAGGAATGATAAATATAGTCTTCTGTAGGTTATCATGCAGGGTAAAGTCGATGGCAAAATGGGAATAGGTTGAAAGAAGGAAGTCATGGCTGCGAAATATTCGAGACTGGACAAACATGACTGTAGACGAATTATTCCACGTTGCAAAAGACAGAGATACTTTCAGAAATATGGTTACCAACCTCCGTTAATAGGGACGGTATGGGAAGAAGAAGAAAATGATGATCCTGTCCAAGGTCCAAATTTAGATATAACATTTAATAGTGAACAAACTTTAAGTTCACGAGATTATGATGAACTAGATAAAGAAATATACCACGAACTCGATATATATTAAGATAATTAAGATTCTTGGTAAATCGATTTTTTCCGTTTTTCCCCTTTACTTGAGGTTTTTAGGAGAATACCAGGGGGTAGAATTGGTAAACCCTTTGCATCTTTTTTAGCGTCCCAAAATTGACAATTTCGGCAAAATTCAGTTTGTTAGTATGATTTTTTAGAGGTTCAGTGGCATTTTATTCAGTGGAGAATTGGACGGAGGTTGCTCAAGACAGAAAACAGTGAAGGCATGTTGTCGAGTCGGCTAAAACCCACGAAGGGTTGTAGCGCCACGGAGTAAGTAAGTCGCATTTTTGTATCTGACGCCTGGAGTAATAAGCTTCTTTTTGAACCTTTATTAAACTGAATTAATTTGATTCTAATATAAAAAGTTATTCAACATAATTCAACAATATATTCAACAGAAATAAACCTACAAACTGTAAGAGTATAATAATTACCTTTGATCGTATAACATTCAGGACAGCATCTGCACAATGGAGGATATGTTTTTTTGATCTGATTCGCTGTACAATTTGCAACTACACATTTTGGCCTTATATTATCGCAATAATGAGGTCCACAATCGTTCCTTGCGGTGGCAGTCAGAGATAAATATACCACTGAAAGTACTATACAAAATAATGGTCTATAAAGAGTCATGTTAGAACTTATTAGGTTTTAAAAGAAAAATTACCGATTTTGTTATAAATGTTTACCAGCCTTGTTTGGATATTTATGTTAAATATGACAGATAAGACTTCTTTTTTTAATTTATTTTACATGCGTCATTATTAATATTTATTTAATTGCTTTTAGGTAAAAAGGTAATTTATACAGAAAATTTTTGTGATAAATAAAACAATGTTAAATACAATTTTCCGAAACTGAATTACTAATTGTTCAAAATATTACAGGATGTTTTATGTAGTTCCAGTTAACTTCCACATAAATGCAGTAGATCTTCTTTTTCTTTTGGCTTAATATTTCTAATGGGTATTTGCCTGCCTGACCATTACCTTCCATTCAATTCCTTCATTTCTGGTGTCCTTTTTAGTCATCCTCTTATACTCATCTTACTCAAGTTATTCTCTATATTTGTTAAACACTACTTGTAAGTCCTCCTATTTTCGTCTGTCTGTTGGTTTCCATTGCACTAATTTCTTAGTTACTATTATGTGTTCTTATTTCTTATGCACTACAGACTCTAATTTTTACAAATCGTACCATGTCGTAACCTTCATCCAACTTCTAATTTCGTAATTTTGTCTCATTCTTATACAATCATCGTCTTGTACCGGATCATATACCTTTCTCAATATCTTTTCCTTAAATATTCTAATCTTTACCTTTCCTTAATAAGCCAGATTCCACATCATCATGTTATTATAAGTCTAATTAGGGTTCTGAAAATAATTACTTTCACTTTTCTATCGGATGATCCATCTTTTATTGGTAAAAAATAAAAATTTGGGAAAAAACAGTAGAGCGAAGGTTAAGGAGAGATATATCGATAGAAGAACATTTTAGGTTTATGCCAGGAAAGCGGACAGCGAAAAGAAAATCCAGCTACATTTGGTGTTTGTAGATCTTAAAAAGGCGTACGACATAGTTCCTAGACAAAAGTTATGGAGATGTATGACAGAGAAATGGGTTCCTTGGAAGTACGTTAGGTTCATGAAACACATATATGAGGGAGTGCACATCACAGTAAAGACTTGAGTCGGATAAAGCTAAAGGTTTCCAGTGACGGTTGGTTCGCATCAAAGCTCTTTACCAAGTTCCTACCATATTACTATGGATGTGCTCACAGACAGAGAAGGTATGGAAGGGGTCTCATTTCGTCAATATTCTTTGCTGATAATATCGTGTTCGTCGAGTAGAGTCAAGAAATGTTTAAACACTTGGAGGTTGAAGAAGTGCTATTAAGAAAGGAGAACTTAAGGTAAGGAGGTCAAAGATGAAGTATTTGTGTTTGAGTGGAGCAGGAATATTTCAGGATGTCGAATTTTTGGAGAAAAACTAGTAAGAAAATTTAAATATCTTGGCTCCTTCTTCTTCCTAGGGTGCCTGTCCGTTCCGAACGTTGGCGATCATTCTGGCTATGATGACTTTGAGGTCTTGTTGAGGTCTTTCTATACCATGCTCTCAGGTTAGCAAGCCAGGATATTCTTCTTCGTCCTGGAGCCCTTTCTTCTTCAATTTTATCTTGTAAAATGCATTGAAGTAGCTCGTATCTGCTTTGATTTCTCATTATATGGCGTTATATAAGTACTGAAGCTTACAGCCCTTCACGATGTTGACCAAATCCGCAGTTGTGTTCATCTTCCACAGTACTTCTTCATTGGTGATTTTGTCTGTCCATGGTATCTTCAAGATCCTTCTGTATGACCATAGCTCAAAAGCCTCAAGTTTTGGCTTCTCCCCCTCAATCCTTTAGCCCTTGTCAGGGCGTAGTGACACCCTAAATATTGTTAGTCTGCTGTCTCCATTGACTGCGATCTTGTGCCATATGGACTGCTTCATGTAGGGATTTTCCCACCAAACTCTTCATTTGGTCTACCTATCGTATTGGAGATCTTCCTCTTGGTCTCCGGCCTTCTACCTTTCCTTCTACTACCAATAGTTGCATGGTGCCCGTTCTTCTAGCTATGTGGCCGAAGTAAGTTAGGTATGCTTGCTTTACTTTTTTTAGTAGCCTGTCTTTTATATGACGCTCTTCCAGAATTGACAGGTTGGTTCTATGTTCTGTCCAGGACACGCGTAGAATTCTTCTATATACCCACCGAAGGCTTCGATCTTACTCCTATCGATTTTTTTGTCCATGTTTCAGCTGAATATGTAGCAATGGGAAAAATAAGGGCATTGACCAACCTGAGCTTAGTATTCCTTGTTATTGTTCGGTCTTTCCATATTTAAATTAATTTAGCAGTTGCGGTTCGGGCCATTCCTAGTCTACGTTTGATTTCTGAGGAACAATCACCATTGTTGGTTATCAGAAAGCCCAAGTATACAAATCTGTCGACTACTTTGAAAATCCCTATTTGGCGTATATGCGGTAGATTATTATTTGCTCTGTCTACAATCATTATTTTTGTTTTTCCGGTGTTGATTTGAAGTCCGAATTCTTCACTTATCCGGCTTGGCTTGGCTTCTACCAAACTGAAAATGGGACACTGGCTAAAAATTGACCACAGGATACAGGCTGTTTGGTTTGACTAAAAGCGAATAAAGGGATTTTTTTGTGATCTGCTCATTCGGGGAAGGACTAGAAGGAAAGATGTGCAAGAAGATTGGTATGCCTGGGTTGGTATAAGGGTGTAAATTATCGCCTAAAAAGAAGATTCAGGAAAAAAAGAGTAAGGTAGCTGAAATGAAAATGTCACGGTGAATTATGGGTAGTCTCAAGAAAGGTTCAAGAACAAAGACTGCTGTTTGGCCAGGTCAGATATAGAAAAGAGAACTAAGGGTGGACGGAAAGTCCCTTTACAGTAATATAATGCCAGTAATAATAATATTGCGCTAATTTTTGTTTGCGTTTCAGCGCATAAAAGCATTGTCAAGGGTACCTGCATCATCTAGGGCTTCATTGTTGTCCGTTTTTAAAAGCCATCACGACCAAACCAACCTTGCTGTCGTTGGAAACCGTTCTCGATGTCCCAAGAAGGGAAAGACCAAGCTCTCAGTGCCGGCATCGAAGAATACATTACACGTGAATCTATGAATTCGACGCGGAAAGGCTCTGACGAGATTGTTATTCCATGGTCATTGGTCAACAATGCAAGATCACATGCAAATGTGTTTAAAAGTGCAAGGTCTTTCAGCCAGTATATGTTAATGAGTTAAGCGATATTGACATGGACTCCCGAGTGCAAGCGTACCAACTACAGCTTCAACGCTATCCGGGAGCATGTGAAAAATAAAATGTGCTGTGTACTAAAAAGTGTACGATTTATTTCAACTTTGAAATCTATATCTTGATTTTTTTTTCATGAAAACATTCCAATATCATGATATCGACTGAAATGACTTTAACCAATCTGCTTGTGCTATATTTTTTTTAAAGCTCCGTAACTCCTATACACCTATGTGTAGATGATCAACGAGCAGTTACTACCGCAATTAAGAACTCAGATGAGGTTAGAAAATGCTGATATGTTTCGAATAAAGACTTGCGAAACGAAGTTCGCCGAGTTTTTACGTCAGTAACTCTGCACATGCTGAGACGAATGAACATAACGTGAACGACGTTATTGATACAACGTCGTGATACGGCGCCATGAACGAACATGGCGTCGTATTAAGTTGCGTTGCGACAATGAGGGTATGCGTACCGATATTTTGGATAAATAAATTGTGTTTCCATCTATAGTATCACAAAAACAATTCATTACTGTAAAGAAACTTTCTTGTCACCCTATATATGAGATGAAGAATAGAGGTGATAGAAGTTGTGGGAAAGACAGTGTGACAGAGGACATGAGAAGTGACACAATTTATAAAAATACAATTTTTCAAAGTTAAAAATATATTTAAAGAAAGCATATTTATTTTAAAAAGTTGAACAATTCATTCAAGTAAGTGATAACGACAAATTTGCTGTTTTATCAATCCAATAATTATAATTCATATCCAAAACTAGCACAAAGTTAATCATACCTAATACATCGTTTTGCGCTAATTGTTCAAAGCTAACTTCTACCTCCGATAGAAAGCTCCAGTGCGATGGCTGTAAGAAACCAATACACATTGCTTGTACGAATCTGTCGGTCGATGATCGAGTTACGATCCAAAAAGTACGTGGGATATGTATACTATGCAATGCATGCAGTTCAAACATTACAAATATTAATTAAATAAAGAGTCTACTTATCGAGTTTAAAGCGGACATTAAGAAGAAAATTGAAGATTTTGATATTAAACTATCTGAATTCAGCAATAAATTAAATCAACTCGATTCTATTTCAACAACAGAATTTACTGACAGCATTGTCAATGAAGCCGCTGACCGCATATCTCGTTCCAAAAATTTTTTGGTTAGAGGCGTCCCCGAACCTACAGAAGACGCACAAAATAAAAAAGATCATGATAAGAATAAAATACATTTAGCCCTAGAAGTCATTGGATGTCAAAAAAGTCCTGTTACATTTTATAGAGTCGGTAAACCAAATCAAAATAAACGTTATCCCCGCATGATAAAAGTGATAATGAGTTCTGAACACCACACTCGAAAAATTCTTCGTAACAAAAATAAACTTTTGGAGAACAAATCTACTGAAACTTATTCTGTTATTGATGACAAGACACCTATGCAGCAACTTCGTTTAAAGGAACTTCGTACTGAGCTTGAAACTCGTAAAAATAATGGAGAAAATGACCTTACGATTAAATATGTGAATGACTGTCTAAAGATAATGAAATTTCGTTCATAATTCTTCTGCACTAAAATTTACGGATTGGCTTCTTATGTATACGAATCTAAACTCTCTTATGTCCAAATTTAATGAATTTATAAGTACTGTTCAACTTTTAAAACCTCACGTTATTCTCCTAACAGAAACGTGGCTTAATTCTTCTATTCCCGATGCTATTGTAAACATTGAGAATTTTACTATATTTCGCAGAGACAGAGATACTCGTCGAGGGGGAGGAGTATGCATCTATTTAGCAAATGAAATTACCAACACTTTTTCCATCAGTAATAAAACAATAGACGTACCCGGTATAGAAATTATCCACTTACTTATTACTAAAAACTCTTTCATATTTAATATAGTTTGCATATATCGACCTCCCGATACAGTACTTACTCACGATAATATGTTTATTAACAAACTTGAGGAATTATCATCCCTTGAAAATCTTATTGTTGTTGGAGATTTGAATTTTCCAGAAATTAGCTGGCCCATTATATCCAAAACTGATACTATTAATTCCCAAAATTTGTTTAAAAACTTTATCATGAACTCAAATTTATTACAACTGATAACTGAACCTACAAGGTTTAGAACCAACAATAATCCTTCAATTTTAGACTTATTTTTCACAAATGACGATGAATTAATTTCTACACTTGAAGTGTCCTCTCCTGTAGGTCTTTCTGACCACTCGCTTATTACTGCTCACATTCAATTTAGTTTAACACCGCCTTGCAAAAATAATTTCGTAACGTATGCCACTACAAATTTCTTTGATGTAAATTCGGTTTTATCCCAGATAAACTGGCAATCTATTTTCCCTAATCACTCTGATCCATCGTCAATGTGGGACTCTTTTCTTCATACTGCTATTACAACAATTTCTGATCATACAACCGAACGGCAGGTGTATAGAAATCGACTAAAACCTTGGATTAACCTCTCAGCTACTCATTTAATTCGACATAAGCGAAAGCTTTGGCGAAGATATAAACTCACTGGTTCCCCTGATGATTTTCTCGCCCACCGTAATTTTTCTAACAGAGTCAAACAATCTTTGCTAAAATTAAGAACAGAATTTGAGGAATCTATCGTTGCAAGTGGTAATAGTAAAAAAGTTTATCGGTACATTCGTACATCTTTATCTTCTAAAGTCTCCATACCATTGCTTCAAAAAGCTGATGGGTCTTTATGTTCTTCGAATAACGAATCTTCGGAATGTTTATCGTTATTCTTTTCTCAAGTTTTTACAGATGAATCTAACGATACCATTCCTCAAATAATGTGCCCTCGTTTGTCTAAAACTCTTGACAATATATTTTTCATACCGGATGAAATTAAATATCATTTAAGGAAACTGCGAAATAATTCATCACCTGGATTAGACGGACTCACCTCTTTTTTCCTCAAACAATGTACAGATTCTGTAGCCATCCCTATATCTCTCATAATGACTGCTTCTTTTAATCAAGGTTCCCTCCCCTCGTCCTGGAAATTGGCCTCAGTTATTCCTGTATTCAAGAAAGGTAATAAACTTGATTGCAATAATTATCGTCCAATCAGCCTAGTTCCTATTGTCAGCAAGGTCATGGAATCGATTATTTCGGAAGCTATGTCCGAGTTCCTTCTTCAAGAAAATGTCATCCCTCACCAACAGCATGGATTTATCAAAGGTCGTTCAACGATCACAAACTTACTTCATTGTGTAAATGATTGGTCATTATCTTTAAACAATCGGAATCCTGTCGATGTAGTTTACTTAGACTTCTCCAAAGCTTTCGATCGTGTTCCAAAACGTCGATTACTAGCTAAATTGGATCACTATGGTATCCGCGGAAAATTAAACATTTGGATACAAGATTTTCTATCCGACAGATACTTCAGGGTTCGTGTTGGGGAAGACCACTCATTAGATAAGCCAGTCAAGAGTGGAGTTCCACAAGGATCAGTACTTGGACCGCTACTTTTTTGTGTCTACACTAGTGATCTTCCGCTCATTGTATCCAGTAAGGTTTCCATTTACGCTGATGACACTAAGTTATATGTGATTCCAACTATTAACCAACATATTCTTCAACAAGATCTTGACGCAATATTCAAATGGTCCTCAGAATGGTTACTTCTGCTTAACATTGAAAAATGCGTTGTTTTACATATCGGCAAAAATAACCCATCACTTCCGTACTTTATTAATGGACATCCTTTAAACTCTGTAACCTCACACAACAATCTCGGAGTGATAATTAATAGTGACTTAAATTGGTCTGATCACATAGTGTCGGTGTGTAAACGTGCTAACTCGAAACTGTTTTTGATTCGTAAGTGTTTTGCACGCATATCTCTAACTTCTGTTAGTAAACTTTACTCAATATACGTTAGACCTATTCTTGAGTTTGCCGGACCAGTGTGGAATCCAGACTGGATTCGTTCAGCGTAAAGCCACAAGACTGGCATACGGCCGTGTAAGACCTAACTATGAAGATAGACTATTCATGGCTCATCTTACGATATTCGAGCAGCGACGTCTTCGAGGTGACCTAATTATGTCCTTCCGTATTTTAAAACATAATTTTGGGAACCTAAACAACATATTTACTTTGAATGAAGACGATAGATTAAGAGGCCATCAATACAAATTAAAGAGGGAACAAACTACTGCAAGGTCCAGGGCGAACTTCTTGCCAAACAGAATCTTTAATATATGGAACAATTTGGATCAAAACACCATATCGGCAGCTAGTGTTAACATCTTTAAAAATAAACTTGACAGCACTTTATTTTTTTATTATTATTTATTATATATTATTTTATAGGATAGGATATTTTTTCTCGGACAGCATTATTTACTTATTTATTGTGTCACAATTCAATTTTCGTTAATTGTTTAACTACTTAACTTTATAATTAGTATTAGTTTTATAAGGATCTATTTTATTTTTGTTTATTTTTGCTTTTTGGGCATAATAGGAGCTTGCTCCTCTGCCCTTATTTGTTATATAATAATAATAATAATAATAATAAGTAAATGTTTAAATGAAAAAGAAATTGTCTACTTATTTCAGCTAATTCTTCATACTCAGACAAAGATATCTTCAACTCTTCAAAATACTTACAAAATAAAACGACATATTAGAAGTCCTAACTAAGCAGTTTTTATTTATGGCGTATTTCCTCCATAATATTTTTTTAAATTCTGTATAGTACTAAGTACATTAATTTTCTCCATAATATTTTTTTAAATTCTGTATAGTACTAAGTACATTAATCAATGTTTATATTTGTATACAGTTTTTTTAATGTATTTATTAGTTATTGTATAATGTAAAATGGTTTATCCGTTAACAAATAAATAAACATTACATTTTTAGTGCTGTAAAAAGGGGAAACCCGTTAAAAGTATACATAAATTTCCACACAATAATCAAGAACACTTATTTACAAGAGACTGCTGTATTTTACATTTAAAATTTGTTTAGATTGAGTATGACTTCCTCTACAGTTTTTCTTTTTATATTGCTGTCGATGGTATATCTGTTTGTGGAAACTGCTGCACGACAAGATTGTGGTCCCCATTATTGCCTTACTAGAAAGCACAATTGTGATATAGCATTATGTACAGACGATTATGTTGAAATGGATTATCCCGAATTATGCAGATGCTGTCCACAGTGTTACAAAATAAAAGGTAATTCTTATCTTATACATATTTTATTAGTTTTAGGACCATTTCTTATTACGATAGATTACCATTATATTTTTTAAACTTATATTCATATATTTTTTAAAAAGTCAGGCCTTTTTAACGGTGTTTAGAATCTATTTCAATAATCTTCTTCATGTGTGGTCTCCGATTTAAAGTTTGACTATTATCTCTACCACTAAACCACTCGCGAAAGAAAGAAAAACAAAGCCTTTTTCTTCTCTCTATACTTCTTTCTTTTACGATTCTTTCCTCTATTACGTTTTATAGAGGTTGACATTTATCTCTTCTGTAAAACATGTTCAAAATATTAAAGTTTTTGATTTTTGATGTTTAACAGTAATTTCATTTCTCTTCTTTTCCTTGTATAAGTGTTTGGTCTTACATTTACTTTACTCTCAATACACACTAAACTCTGAGTATATATGTATGTTATTTAGTAAGTTTTGACATAACTGGTTTATCTATAAATGTGATATTAGATAATACTTTAAAAATAATCAAAACACAATAAGAGAATGATGATACATTGACAACTAGAACAAGACTAAATGTATTAGTATAATGGAGTTACTGATAATACATTCTTCTTCTTTAAGTTCCATCTTCTATCGAAGGTTGGAAATCATCATGGCTATGCGGACTCTGTTGACTGCCGCTCTAAAAAGTTCTGCACTACTGCATTCAAACCATTCCCTCAAGTTCTTAAGCCAGGATATTCTTCGTCTTCCCACATTTCACTTTCCTCGGATTTTGCCCTGCATAATAAGTTGTAATAATGCGTATTTTTGCCCTCTCATCACATGTCCCAAGTACTCAAGTTTTCGTCTTTTAATAGTTAATATTATTTCCGCCTCATTTCCTATCCTTCTAGTTACTTCCATGTTTGACATTCTTTGAGTCCATGATATTCGTAGGATTCTTCTGTAACACCAAAATTCAAAGGCGGCCAACTTATTCAGATGAACTTGTTTTAGTGTCCAAGCTTCCAGACCATAAAGAAGAGTAGAGAACACGTAACATCGAAGCATTCTCAGGCGTAGTTCTAACCTTATATCCCGACAACAAAGAAACTTTTTAAGTTTAATAAATGATGTACGTGCTATTTCAATACGTGTCTTAATTTCTTTGGTTTGGTCTACATCTGATGTTATCCATGTTCCTAAGTATTTATAGTTATTAACACTCTCAATTGCAGTATCTTCAATAGTCAATTGGATATTTGCATGTGCAGATTTAGTCATGATCATGCATTTAGTTTTCTTTAAATTTATTGATAATACATATATTCAACTAAATACGGAATTCTTTAAACAAAATTTTGGTCCACCAATGGACTCTAGTTTATCTCCATTATTAGCCAATATATTTATGGAAGATTTTGAAACAAATATTATTTCTTAACAAAATTTAAAACCTATAGTATGGTGAAGATATGTAAATGATGTATTCTCTATATGACCTTATGGATCGGATTTGTCGGACGCATTCCTGAAAAATATAAACGATAAAGAAGTGACAATAATATTTCCTATAAAAAAACATAGAATAAGACACTACATACTTTTTTTTTGTACCTTCCCTAGATGTTAATTTCAAAGAAGGATACTGAATATGACAATAAAGTGCATAGAAAACCAATACACACCAACAAATATGTAAATTACAAATCAAATTATAAGATCAATATTAAAAAGGGAGTCATTAAATCCTTACACGATACAATTAAAATTACTTGCTTTAACGAAAATTCATTCTTGAAGAAGACACATTTGTTAACACCTATTTCATTAATTAATCTAAATTAATACATTCTTTAGATTCGAAACATTGATCAAAACTACAGCTACCTTGACCCACTAAAAATAACTTTTTTAGTTAGTTTAACTTAATAACAGGCCCTATGGCTAGCCAACTCCCTATACATTGTAAAGACATTTTTAATGTAATCCACTGTTCATAATTATATTATTAATATATTTTATATTTTAGGTGATGGGGAATCCTGTGGAGAAGAAAATTTTGCAGTATGCGGCCCTAATTTGAAGTGTGTTAGAGGCGTTTGCATAAAAAACAAAATTTAGCAATATTTATCTATTGTAATAATAATCCTATAACTGCCTCTTATTAAAAATAAATAAAAGTATATTATTCTGAAGTTGAGTTTTTTAATAGATTAGAAATAATTTACTTCTAGTAGTTTTCTTGAAAAACTGTATTAAGTGGTGGAAGTATCATTAAGAAAACAGGACAGTCCCGATGTTATGGGCTTCTTTCTTCTAATCTTAACACACTTCGATATTAGGTTACTACCAATTCTCCTCTTCTTAATATAATATAAAATCATTTTTGCCACCACAACAGGTCATAAATTTTATTTCCTTATATCAACCGCTTCGTTTATTTGGTACCAAAAACAAGTTTTTTGTCTACATAGAACTGGGTCAATATTGTTTATTTATTCTTGGAACTCGTAAAAGGGCAATAATCCTTTCATATTTAGTTTTCTTGTTATATTATTACGCAGTTTCTTCGTAAATGTATTGTTGTATGTATGTTGGGTGGATAGAATTACAAATGAAGAGGTAATACGCAGAATAATAACGATCCAGAAGTTATTATGAATATAAAAAAGAGAAAACTTGAATACTTAGGCCACCTGATGAGAGGACAAAAGTACACGTTCCTACAAAATATAATGCAAGGAAAGATCCAAGTACGCAGAAATCCAGGCCGTAGAAGAATGTCCTAAATCAGAAATTTAAGAGAGTTGTTTGGCTGTACCACTAACGAATTATTCAAAACAGCAGTTAATAAAATTAGAATCGCCATAATGACATCCAATCTCCGATAGGAGAGGCACTCAAAGAACAAGAATATTAATCACAAATTTTTTGTGTCAGGATACAGCTATATTCTAAATGATGCTGATTTTGCTACATTGAAACAAGAGTCAAAAAGAAAGAAGTTATTCATGGTCCAAATGACTGGGTTAATATTTTAAAAAAAGCTAAGAACAAAAGTCCGTTTCTTGTCACTGAAATGAAGAGAGAAGAGTTTTTATCAACAAAAAAAATGGAGGATTTTATTACCAACAAAAAAATTAATATAAATGGTCAAAAAGTGAACGGTTATAAATAAAATGGTTACGGTACAGCAAACATAAACCAAACTCTATATTTTATAAACAAACATTGCAGCAATCGTTTGAACTAGATGAAATTGATATTTCGAAATCAGCATATAGGCATATGCATTTTGCATATATTATCTAGTTTCAAGTTATATATTATCATAAAAGACAAACATATTTTTATGTAGTAAAAAATGTTATCCTTAGCCTGCAGATCGATCGAAAGCTTATAGCATATCTGAAGTCAAAGTAGATTATTTTAAGAAACACTACTTCTAATCTGCCTAAATAACAATTGGACACAATAAATTGTAGAACAAGGACAATCTCGAAATCAAAAGACTCTTTTTTGCTTGGAACAAATTCAAATAAGTTACTTCAGATTTATCTTGGTTCCGTTACATACGAAAAAAATTAAATATTTTTATTCGAAAAACAGTTTATCACACTTAACCTGAACTGTGTTTTGTAAATAATTATCTCTTAGCCCGAATCTTGACGAATTCCATCAATTAGCGTTTAAAACTTAATCTGTTTTATGTATTTAAATGATAACTGACGATAAATTAACTAAAAATAATAAGGTACAAAATGAGGTCAAACATATTATAATTCCACATTATATAAAACTATAATTGCAAACAAGTGACAAAAATATATAAAAATGAGGTTGTTCTATTAATTATGTATTCTATGTATTCTATATAATAAGTAAAATTAACTAAAAGATCGTGTACAGGTGCAGTATTTGTAATAAAACACATTAAAGACAGATGGGGAACGTATAATCTTCTTCTTCTTCTTCTTGATGTGCCTATCCGTTACGAATGTTGGCGATCATCATGGCAGTCTTTATCTTACCTGCAGCATCAGTTTAAAGTATAACAGGCCAGCGTTTCTATGTGTGGTCGGTTTGAAGAAAGCATTCGACTTAGTGAGATTCAAAAATTATATTTATATTTTGTATAAAAGAGGAGTTGTTTGATTATCATAAAAACTGTTTAAATCTACCGAAATGATAAGACAGAATTCAGAAAAATGAACAGCCTTCTAAACCTATGCATGTAGATACCCGAAAAAGATTGGATGAATCATTAAGTCCTGTACACCTATTCGTCCATTATATGGGTATACAATCCAATTCGAGCCCTGGTCTCCCTCATCAAACCTCTCTTTCCATTATAGTCTAGAACATTCTCCTCCACGATTGACTGCCAAGAAGATATCTTGCGTTCTCATCTATATCATCCCTATTTCGCTTTCTTAGTCTTCCAATAGGTCTTTTCCACTGCATTCTTGCATTCAACGGTTTGTTTGGAAACCTGTTTTATTCCACATTGTTCCACCTGTCGTTCTCATTTATAGAGTCTAGTATTCGTCTTAGTACCTTTCTTTCAAAGATATCTATGAAGTTTACAGATTTTTGAGTCACTAATAGGCGAGGAAATAAAGCATTACACCTACAAATTTTTAGCAATAACATGAATCACTGTTTAACGTTTTGCATTCGATTTAGGAAAGTATTAGCAAAGTTTGTAAATAAGATTTAAGGTAGTAAAATGAAAATTGTATTTTGTGCATAAGGAAATGAGTTTCCAAAGTACATAAAAAATGAATAATTTACAACTTACAAAATATCTACTAAAATGAGTTCAATTTTGTTACTGGGGGTTTTCGAGGAGAATGAGCCTTGAGCTACCTGGTGAGCAGGATAAACGTTTTCTGGGGTATCTTAATTAGTTACTGGAGGGTTTTCGAGGACAATGGTTCTTGATCTACCTGGTGACTAGGATAAACCTTATCTGGGGTATCTTAATTTAATTCTAAATCAGTCTACACTCATTATTTGAGAGGTTTTCGAGGTAATTGAACAGGAATATAATAACGACAATAGTTCTCGAGCTACCTGGTGAAGGGTGGACCTCGTCTACTGGTTTTTTAATTCGAAATCAGTCAAAAGTCAGTACTTAGGGGTTTTTGGCGATAGTTCCAAGGTATTTGGTGCCGGGGTGAGCTCGTCTCCTGGAGTTTAGTTTTAATAAAAACCTCAAATAACAAATTGACAAAAAACTTTAGGAGGAGTCTATCAAATCCCAAAAACCCACCGTTTCAACTGATTTGAAATAAAAATAACATAAAACTCTAGAGGGCTGGTCTACCCAGGGCAGCAGGTAGCTTTATTTCCATCGTCGTTATCATATTCGTATTTAACGACCTCGAAAACTCTGACTAACAAAATTAAACTCATTCCTATTGGCATTTTCTTAGTTGTAAATGTTTCATTTTTCTGTTTCTATTTTTCTGTTTTCTAGGCACTTTGGAAATGCATGTTTCTTATGCACATTTCATTTTAGTACCATGAATTTTATTGACAAACCTTCCTGGCACTTTACCGAATTGAATGAAAAAGAAATTTCTCAGCGATTCATCTTACTGCGGAAAATTGGTAGGTTTAGTGCTTCGTTTAACTAACTAATAAAAAACTTTAACACATTTACATAAGTGTGCATTCATAACGAGGCGCCGACCCTCGGTCAGACCATAGGATGGTATCATATTATCGATTTTAGGTTAAATAAATGCATTATTTTAAATGCGAGCGTTTACTGTCAGTACTATGCTCTAGACGAGGATACGATGCAATGGTCTCTGTAATGAACGCACCCTAAGAATATCGCTCAGAACCTTATGCCAATATTTTAAAATTACACTCGACCCTCTACACGAATCAATAGGCTTTGATTAAATGTCTGTATCAAAAAGAACCACCAAAAGCTTAATACAAACAAGGTAAACACAGGTAACCTTGATACATTTTCACAAAATGTTTTTATTCTCGCATATGACTGTACTTATAAATTTAAAATTACGCATATTGTTAGGTTGCTATATTAGGAGTAAATCTTGTGTTTTATTGTTAGTTTCAAAATTTTGATACACTTTTTGTTTTTGTAAATGTGTCAGATGTCAATGTTACCCACATTCTAAGAAAACATTAACACCTTATATTAACTACGTTATAAGCCAATATTTACTAATGGTCGAATAACATTGACATACAATAAGCTAATTCTGCACTGCTATTGGTACAAAATTTATTTAAAGCCTAAAAAATTCGAAAATACCAAAAATCAAAGTTAACAAATAGTGATCGCTTCTATTAACCCAAAGTCTAAATTAAATACGTGAATCGCATGCCGAGTTGTAGGAATCGGTAAGAACCCTTACTATATTTTTTAGCAAAACCATGGCTTCGTCAGCAACGGTAGGAAATTCAAACCATTTTTCTTACTTTTTCAGGAAAGTCACTGCTACTAAAATACCTTCGGAAATAATTTCTGTTACCTTTCCAATGTAATGATAGATTTCATTGCCACGCTTATCAACTGTAAATTTTACCAAAAACCCAAGAGTTAATCCTAATTTTTGTAAAACTGTGTTCTTTCGTTTTTGCCATTGGAAATATCGTCTTCATGTTTTAATAGAGGTGCATCTTAGTCTGAATCGTCATTCATTCGTAAACTTACTAAGAAGAACTTGTTTACTTTTTCGCATTTATCGGCTTTTTATTCTTATGTTTAAGACTTCTTGCAGTAGTAAGCTTCTGCATACCTATCCATCTATTAAATACCAACTTTAGTACAAATATTTGTCCTACTAAGATTACCATGACTGGTATTTTTAATGGCATGAATGAGCTGCCCAATGAGCTTACTGCTGGTCCAGATGGTGTGCCTAATTTTTTATTAAAAAAGTGTGTCTGTACCCTTGTAATACCATTTGTTATATTGTTTAATAGATCAGCAGAACAACCTATGGTATTCACAACCCATTGGATAAATACATGGGGCTATTAAATGATCGCGATTTTGATATTTTCAATATAACTTTAACTCAGTTAAAAAGATCTCTTGCTTTGTGATATGCATATTTGGATTGTTGAATTTTGTTCTTTTTATACTTTGTTTGTTTTTTTAAGTATGTAAGATTTTTCTCAATTTTTTTTTTAAACTTT